ATCCAGGGAATCGGCGCGTATAAGTCAGCAGAATATAATTTATGAATACTAGTCTCTCGGGGAAAGTAGCACTTTATGTAAAATCTGTAATGGAACTTGGCGTTTTTGCGACCGGCATACATTTTTGTAATATTGCATCACTCTGATTAAAACAGATATTTACCGCCGAATGTGAATGGTTACCAGAAATAACAAATCAATAAATTTATGAGGGAAATATGAATCTGTTTACCTGCGATTCCTACTGAATATCCGCGAAATTTAATTAAATGTTCATTTGTAACGCCGGCGGTCTGCGATTATTGAGAAAGCGTGAACGTTTCCCCGGGTATTTCAATGTTAAAAACCCCTGTCGTGATCGAAGTTCTTAACAGTCTTGATGGAAAAGTTAAAACTTAGCGAAGTCCAAGTGTAAGTTTCGGATCCGTACTAATTCCCGATTAGAATCACTAAGTCCGTCCTGTTTTGAAAATTTGATACGAAGACACAAGCTTTTATAATTAAAAATTGTAGAGGTAATCTGTTAGCGGCTTCTTTACTTGCCTATCTAGAGCACATCATTGAGTATAACTTGTTCATTTTGCTGCAATTATTGGAAATTTATACTTAAATTTTGTTTTAATGAATCTGCGTGGGATAAAGTAATACTGAGTGTAAAAAATGTGTGTTTAATTACTGTAAAACAGTTCAGACTGTGAGCTGTCGTGTACTTACGACTGCTCGTGTGTGTGTCTGTGATTTTCTGTTTGCAGATTTGTGTGTGTATGTGCAATGTGTGGCATGCGTCTGGAGCTGTTGAAAATAATTTGAACGAATCAGGTCATTGTACGTAATCCTAGAAGCTAATCGTGGTTACGTAGCACGCAAAGGGGAGATGTAAAATTCGTACAGAACTCCTTAAGGGAGGAAACCTAGGTGGAAAGATGTCATTGAAATTAAGTTTTAATAAGAAGATTTCCGTCTTCTGGGTTGTTGCGCTGTGTAGCATTTGGTAAACATCTACCACCCTGATGACGGAGGCAGTATGACCTCTGAAACGTTGGTTAACATCAACCAGACTACACAGCGCAACAACCCAGAAGACGGAAATCTTCATACTCACCGCTGTGAGAACCTCAAGTCTTACAAGTTTTAATAAATTGATTGTTGACAAGATCGCGTGATTCAGTATAGGATTCGGTGGCTGGATTTTGTGAACACGGTGACAACCTTTCAGGTTATACTATAAAAGGATAGGAATATTTTGGGCATCTGGGCCGTTATGGTCTTCACAAGAAAGACCTTACACCGTGTAGTTAAAAAAATGAATACATTAATACAGTCAGTGTATATTTGTTTGTTACTTAAAGACTGTTTTGGTGTATGCAAGGTCATGCATAGATAAAAATTATTCGATGTAATTAATCATTTACTGATTTACTGGCTGTGTCCATCAACTGTAGATTCATGAATAGCCTGTAGTTAATTTCGGTTATCTCGTTTATCGTAAAAATCGTAATTAATTTCAGTTTTCTTAAAATAAAATAGTAAGTAAATGGCTCCAGGCGCTTGTGATTCACATTTAAAACGTGATTATGGCTGTCTTCTTGGCCCATCGCCCTGAGGATGAAGGCAGCAAGCACCTCTGATACGTCGGTAATCTTCTACCAGATTACATGGTGCATCAACCCAGAAGACAGCCATCTTCGTACTCGCCACCGCGAGAACGTGATTTGTGTGTGTGTGTGTGTGTGGATTAACGATGTCAGATACAGGAGTATGAACAGAGTAGCGAGAATTTCTTGTTGTTCTGAACAGTACGAGCTGCGACTGGCGGCCTCTGACAACCTGAAGGAGAATTACACCACAGTGGTGATCCACGTGAAGGACGTGAACGACAACCCACCGGTCTTCGAGCGACCAACATATCGCACTCAGATCACGGAGGAGGACGACAGAAATCTTCCGAAGCGAGTTCTGCAGGTCGTGTCTTCGCCTGTCGCATGACGCAGCTTTCAGTGTACGAACCCGGTACTGGGAGACATCGTGTTACTAACAAACACCTGTACTTGCCGCCTTGGAGTGCCCCTTAGATTTTCATGTGGAGATCACATACCCAATTAATACTGTGCTCAGGCCATAGATAAAGGTTTTAATTTGTCCTCGTGGTCTCAAGTATCATACCAATCGTATTTAAGATGGAGCGAAAGTACAGTTCCACTTATTCTTAACCTCGTTAATAGGTGGACGTTGAATATGGCCTTTAATGAATCCGTAGAAATTTGTAGCTTAAATTAACACAGCCTCCAAAGGGCGAATCATACAACTATTTTGGTCGTGTAATATTTATACTGTGTCCAAACTATCAATACAAAGTATACACGTAGTATAGTTCTGTCTGTAAAGTGATTGGCTGAGGGGTAGGCGGCCGGATTTGGATTTCTGGTGACGGAATATTTACTTCTCAGCACTGCGTGCAGACTGGCTTCTGAAACCACTAAGCCTCCGGTTCAATAGGATCATTGGTAAGGCGTCTAGAGCATGGCCTTTTAATCACCATCCACTGCCGAGGTTAAGAATGTTTGGGTCCTTAATTTCACTCTAGCGTGCATCCCGATATATTAGTATTTAACACATTTATTAAACGTCCTACAAAATTATTTAAAAATAATTATAAGGCTCAAATATTATCGTTCTCAGTAGACTACGCACGGAGAAAGTGTTACAAATTGTTAATTGTTTTCATTTCTGTAATACTTCGACGACGTTTGTTTTATAATGGCAGGTCTTGTGGGTGCAACTCCTGTTTCAGAAGGCGTATTTCATTGCTTCAGATACACGTGTCTTCCACGTACTGGTTCGTACAGTGAGCTATAATTTGTGTTTTTTATATATATAATTGATGTGTTTAAACTGCATGGTCCGCGGGTAATCGCAAACAAACTGTGTAAACTTCGCTGGAGCCAAGTCGTGCTTTTCCATTGATTTGAATCCCCTGGACCTTGCGGTGTGGATGTTAATCTTTCAGCATGTTTCCAGTGTCTGATTAACTCATTTGTAATTACAAGGCATGTCTCGCATGTTTGCATTGCATCTTGTTGTTTTCTTTTTGCTTTCATGTTTTACTTGTTAGTACGAGTTAACACTGGTCGCGTCTGACAGCTTGAATGAGAATCAGACGACGGTCGTCATCCACGTCAACGACGTGAACGACCTTCCGCCCGTCTTTAACTCCACTTTATACACTGCAGTGATGGAGGAAGAATTCAATGGCCCGCATCCCTTCCCACTGCTGCAGGTACAGTGGCAACTGGTGGCGGATTTTGGTACTAATAAAATGTGGGGAACATAAGTAGTTGCTTGTTATCCCAGGGATTTATGATGAACTCTTACAAATTTTTCGCCGATACTTATGAAAACTTCCAACTAGATACACTGTAGTTAAATATATATATTTGAAGATTTCTGTCTTCTGGGTTGTTGCGCTGTGTAGTCTGGTCGATGTTTACCAACGTTTCAGATGTCATACTGCCTCCGTCATCGCCCTGATGACGGAAGCATTTGGTAAACATATACCAATCTACACAGCGCAACAACCCAGAAGACAGAAATCTTCATACTCACCGCCGTGAAAACCTCTGATCATAAATATATATTTGTCTTATTTTTATACGTAAGAAGTTTAACAGTTACGTCGCGTTCGCTCTGTTTTTACCCCAATATTTACATTTCTCTTTTAAACATACACGCCAGACGAACAAGGGTCTTTCTCCTGACATGAAAGAAACGATCAAACACAATTAGTGTTAGTGTGAGGATGGCAGTAAAGGTTTTAAGAGAAAATTCAATTTATATTTCAAAGAAAAGACAGCGCTCAACATTTAAAGGATTAATTTGTTAATTTTGTGTAAGAAACAAGTAACTTTACATTAATAAAATGTTATGTAAAGTTTCATTAAATACAAAATTGAAGTAGCTACTGAATTGTTTTCGTAAAACATATTAATACCAAAACTATTAAAATCGATCTGACCTTTCTCCAGTTATGAATCTTCACACTAGTAAACTTTATTCACGTAATTTGTTAAAATTTATCGTGACACGTGTGTTTGGGCCTGTATCGGTTCATCATCAATATCGCTTCCAAGGAATACGTGTCGTTTTGTTAAACCTGTGGAATAATTATAATTTCAAATTAAAATGATCACTGTTTAGGGATTCGAGCCATTTGAAAAACTTGTTGTGCTGGTGTCATAACATATTTATTGAGCCTAACTCTTTACCATTTACATCAATGTGCTGTTCTCCATCAAATGATTTTGTACCAACTGCTGTGTTTATCAGTGCTGAAAATTCAGGCCACTTGTTCCGAAAACTTTTGCGTCTGCCTGGTTTGCTCTCATTAACTCGCTGTTTTACCGCCTGTGTTGAATCGGTCAATTCCACTGTCTGATAATGTGGCCTGTTAGCGACGTAGTTTTATTGACGTGATAAAAGATTCAAAGTTTCGGGGGGGGCTCGGCTTTTGACGTGAATATTGAAAACATTCCAAGTTTCAAAGGCACCTTTTTTACACACTTACGGACACACGGACAGAATGGTTTTAATAAGCGCTCTACATGGCTGCGAATGCTTCTGAAATTATTATACGAAACATGTCCTCGTGTATACTCTGTTACATTTTGATGGCTACATTGTAGACTAGTTAGTTAATTTTTCAGGGAATACAAAATTGGACCGTGTGCTGTAGAGCATAAAAGGTTTAAAATTATCGGTTCTCGACAGTACGTCTATAAAAGAGATGTATCCGTTCTAGGAGAGAGATTTGTAGTGTTTTAGGTGTGGGAAATCGCATCAGAAATTTTATATTACTGTTCACATTACAGTAGTTCTTTTATCGGGATTTATTTGCCTCAGAATTGGAGTTCCACTGGTAAATTGTTTTTTTTATTCGTATAATGTATTTACATGTAAGCTAAATCGACGCTGATAATTTTCTTAATTTGACCGAAATTAACTTGAAATATGGATTACAATGTCATTCTCACCCAGGAAAACTTACATTTCTTTCGCCGTGAAAGTTTAAAATCTGTCACGAACAAAATATAATATAAATGCATGAGCTTTATGTCTTATTTGGAAGAATCTTTAAGTAGAGTTTCCCCCAAGTCCTCGCTTGTAAGATTTTTAAAACATAATTTCTTATTTTGTTTAAGCATTCTCATAGCAACTTTTAATTAATTTGTAGGAAGTTGACACTAATCCGCTTAAAATGTGGATAGTTTTACAAATTATCTCTTTAAAGTGTTAAAGACGTGGATGCAGAATTTTTACTTAGTAGCGGGCGGCCCAGGAGTACTTAGAACAGGAGATACCAATTTTAAAGCACGTGACTGAATGTCCATAAATTACTGTTCCTTCGCCACAGATTACAGGCTGCTGTAATTTCCTAGCATATTCACGAAGCTTCGGAACAATTACTGTGTATGAGGCAGTGAATAGTCAAGCTTGGCCAAGTAAATTACTTTGTACAACATACAATGAAGACTATTTTCATTTCAGTATTGACACACACGTGTTTAAACTGCGAATACAACACACACAGCTGTTAAATCGAGCCAAAATAACATTACCAGATAAAAAATTTATTTTATATACACGAAATTACATTTTTTTTCTCTCTCTAGTTAGACGTCGACAAGATTAAGATTGTAAGTAAATTCCGATGAAGTACTCATTTTCCATATGTGTAGTTTGATGATTTAGATTCTTGTGTGATATTATTAGTGTTGCATGTACAAGTTAGTTTATTGCGCCCTGCACTCCTGTGGCAAAAATAAGTACTAATATTTAGGACGGCAGGGCGATATTTCTTATTTTATAGGTATATAATATATTCATTATATTTTGTAAAATATACTATATATCGAAAATAATTTCTAATTAAACATGTAAGATACTAATCGCTTTTAAAACCACAACCATTTTTTGTTCAGAAATTGTAAACTAGAGATTGTATTGGACAGACACGGGCTAAAGTTACATTCGTCCGTCAACTTTTGTTTTAAACTGAGGCGTTTTGTTTGTGGGACTTTTTGGAAGACAAAGTTTCAACACCTGTAAATATTTTTTTTACAAAAGTTTCGGGTTTTTTTTATCAGAATGTTAGAATGTTTTTGATAAAACAACTACCGTCACTACTGAATACTCGATCCAGCCAGTGACTGTACGAAACTGCAGATCCATGTAGTCATGTGATCCAACACGCTCCAGTTCACCAGTACTGCCAACATCTGCAATGAAACGTCAGTCTTGTTATTTAATTGTAGATACTCTTGAGTTGTCAAGTCGAATGAATGTTGTGCCAAGAGATTACTACAAAACTGCACTGAGGAGTCTTGCTTGCATGAGATACGTGTTACCACAGTTAACGCGCATGCGCGTCACACGTTAATTAACCCTCTCCAGAGAGGGTAAAGGCATTTGACGTAGTGCAGTAATTAGCGGGAACCTGGTAGGGATCAGGATGCTGTAACCCGTGAAATCTGCTTAATTTCGGATACTCCCTCAGTACTCCTGTTTCAGATGACCAGAGGTATCAGGTCCATTAAGGCGATCTCTGTTTGAAGGAGTTTAAATAATGTATTTTGGTTCATTCACTGGATGCGTTTGTTAATTTAAGTATCGATAATCGATACACAATTTATTTGGCTATTAGCAGCGGTGGAGTAAATTTATTACCGTTTCAGTCAAATGTCACTCTAAAAGTGACTTGTGTCAAGACAGTTGAATGGACAACTAACGTAACATGTAACAGCTTGTCTGTTGATTTGTACTGAGAATCACAGAAAACTGTGAAGATTAACCCGTTAAGTCTGGTGGTAACTATACGTACCACCTGCTTTAACAATTTGTTATTCTGCGTTGTACCTACAAAGTGTATTTGTGGGTTTTATATGATTCTAGGAGTAAACCGTGATTAT